AATAATATTTACTTACTATTAATATATATATATATATACATATATATATATATATATATATATATTATTGTATATATATATATATATATATAGAGAGAGTACATCATTGAGAAACAAGAACATGTGTGCAAAATCGGAAAAAGCAGAATCCCACACATACTATCTTCTGCAAATTTGGTCTTTGCTATCGCCTTCGCCTGTCCCTTTACCACATTTCCACTGCGATCATATTCCACATAGTGTTCTGTTTGCCCCAATAGAAGTTCTTGCGGTGGCGCATCTAAATATTTGGCTCCGCCGTATCTTTCGATGATGCTCTGCTGCTCCTTCTCCTTCGCTTCGTCCACGTGAGTTCTCTCGGTCTTTAACAATGACTCTGTGGCCGTTGGTAGTGCTTGCACATGAACATTCTCCCCTCTTTCTGACTTATTCCAAGCAAATAGCTGCATAGCAGCTACCTTCTTCGCGTCGCCTGTATAGCGAATGAAGTTCTCTGGTATATATTCTCTCTCTTCTTGTAATTTGCCCGAACCCGCATAAGGATTTCCACGCATAGATCGTGTCTTAGGATCGTAATGTGCACTTTTTGGGTCAAGATTTCGCAAATACTTCGCTGTGTCCTCACGGATACGAAGATTTCTGACCGTGATTCGTTTCTTTGCATCATACGCTTGTCCAGGCATAGAAGCACCTTCCGTGTACCCGATCATCTCGGAATCCGGGTCAATCTCAGCGTCTTCATCGTCAACCACATTCTTTTGCGTCATCTCATCTGCTACCTCTTTGGCCTTGATCTCAAGCTTCATTTTATCCACACGTGCAAACTCGTCCACCACCTCTTGATAGTCACTATTATCGTAACCATTCCACCTGTCACGCTTGACTTCAAACTCGAGCCCGTCTAGGTTTACCACTACTTCATCTTTCTGTATATCCTCACCTGTCCACTTGGCACCTTTCCCCCTGGGTCGCTCCATACAGTCACTTTTCTTGTGTGTCATCGCTCCACAGTTCTCACATGCCCCCTTCTTAAACTTTTGCGATGCAGGACCTTTCACTCTTGCACCCCTGTGATGCCACACATCCATTCCAGTCTTTATCGTTTCTTTTTGTGCCTTTTGATGCTTCAAACCAGCTTTACCATCAGAAATATACCAGGGTGCTTTGCTGATGTACTCAGGTATATGAGGATTGATCATCCTTCCATCCTCATCCTGCTCGGGAGGGGCAGTACCAGCCTTACGCGCAGCATCCAATTCTTGATGCTTACGGTATTGCTCCCGAGTCATCTTCTGATTTGCTTGTACAGTCGACATATTGAAAATACTATTTTACGCCCACTATAATTGTTTTTATGTACAGCCTTGTATCGCTACTGTTTGTGCTATGTATTTATTACTTCTACACTTTCGCGACGAAACATATATATCGAGATGTGTGAACGAATATGGTGCCGAGGAGTGTTACAGACGCAGTCTGAAATATTGAATTTGAATTTGTATTTGTCAGAGAGTCCTCACTCCTCAGAGAAGGACTAAAATCTTTCGTCTGTTATTTTTTTTCAAGAAAATTATAGTGAAAAAAAATGACAAATCAATCTGTAATCGTTTTTTTTTGTATTTTTATTATACACGTGTAAACAAATATGTATTTATCTATGAAAGATGATATAGACCACATGTAGGTGGATTGTGTCCTTTGACGGCTGATGTGCGTGTGTGCAATTCTGCTATTTATGATGGCACAAATTCAATTCATGTTAATGTCGCATGATGCAAAGGAAACGCACGACAAGTATATTATGGAACAGACTACAACTTGCATATGTCATCGACATATGTGTGCCGTTGTACCTGTACGTAAGACAGCATAAAATAAAGTTTGCGAACTTGCAGGTGCTGCAGATACGGATAGGTAATCTGCGATTCGAAAGCTTGAGATGTATTTGGGTTATCATATATATAAATAGTCTGTCCTGTTACTATTAGTTGTTGCTTTGTGAAGGGTTCTATACCGTTTCTACCATGCTCTATTTATCAAGCTAGTTTCCACATTTTATCAGATTACATGCCTCTGAAACAAAGAATACATACAAGACATGAAACATAACCTTCTAAATTAAACAGGAAAGTTTAATGAAACTTTGGCTGATATTCGCCTGTACGTCTCTGTCGTTCGCCTATCAGGGTAATATGTTTTTAAATGTTGATTCGTGGCCTCGTGGTTATTTGTATAAATTGATGCTCGTCGCGTAGTCTTCACATAGAATACCCTGACAACATCAGAAATTAGACCAAAGTTTGATTGCTGTTCGTATACTCAAGAAGATACTACTTTGTACTATGGTGCGTACATTTGTACCACATGGTGACTATGTATTAACTTTCACGCACAAATAATTCACCAATAATTCTAGTTTTAAAGTGAAAAAAGCATAGGTTAGATTTGGGCTTCATACCCCGCCATGGAAAATTTGGCTCGACGAAATTGCCCATTGCCCATTGCCCATTGTTATTTAGTATCACATCGTGTACATTGGGCAGTGAACCCAAACCTAGTTACAATTGCAACTTTAAAAGTCATATCAATTGTTCTGACTTTTGACTGCTGCTTTTGGATTTAAATTATACAAGGTCTAAAGTCACAGTATACCAGTTAGGTATACAATTACGTTATACTAGGGTTATCTTTTTAAATTGCTGCCCACAACATTTATAAGAAAACATAGACGGTGAGCCATGCCATCCCATATTTGTCGTGACCTTCGAGTACATGATATGTATGAATTATTATGAACACTGGCAATCCTACGCAAACTCCCACACCAACGTCCACGCGTACGCCGACGTCATTGCTTTCGCTCACATCACACTAAGTTCAATGCAAACATAGACACCGGTGTTTATGCCCACGCCAACACAAAGTCAATGCAATCCCCGACACCGACACCCGTAAAAATTAAGACGCCTACGCCAACTCAACGCAAACACTTACACCACTGCAATCGTCACAGACGCCCTTGCTCACAATGACACCTACACTAAAGCCAACGTAAACGCCTACACCACTGCAAGCGTCACAGAAGCTCTTGCTCACAATGACACCTACACTAAAGCCAACGTAAACGCTGACACTGATGTCCATACTTTCAAGCTAACGCACAGGCGGACACTCGTACCGACGCGTACGCCGACGCTCATTTCGTCAGTATGCTGGTGAGATTGATGTTAAGCATGTACATGAGGTCTACTAGCTCCATGTCTGTGTAGTAAATTAAGGGTTGGTTGGTTCAGTCATTCACCTAATTTGCTACAAAAATGGAAAGTATCGCGAGTAGTTCGATCTCAAGCCGCACAATCCACTCCTGGTTGGATTTTACTGACCTTCCACGCTGGGATCACACACCACTTCTAGGTGGATTTTTCTGAACCTTCTGTGCTGAGTAATAGTACTGGCATAATACCATTTGATTGGCTAGTGTAGATGGTGGCAACTTTTATTCCAATATACAAGCCGCGTTGTACATACTTAACGACCAGATGTCGGACTACTGGCAACTCTCGCGTTACACTCATAGGCATTGTAATAGCCGGGCCTCCACATTAGACTCTATGTTATAAACGTACTCTGCAGTACGTAAATTATAAACGTATTCTTAATATAAGGAGGAACTTAAGTTTCCTAAATGGTTTTTAATGGTTTTATTAATTAATACCTTTTCCAATTTACATATCAGATTTTTGGACAAGGCCATTAAAAGGCCCCAGTAAAATACCAAACATAAGATTTGGTCTAGTTCT